TCGGGGGGGGGGGGGTGAGCTTAATGTTGAGGGTTTGGGGTTTGGGGCACTGCCAGCTCGAGTCCGGCTTTAAGGTTCAGGATTTCCAAGTTGAGGTTTGAGGGTGTAGGGGTCAGGGTTTCAGGCGCCGGGTTCCAGAGATTGAATTGAATCCCACGGCCTAACTCTCTGAATCCAAATTCCACCCCAAGCCCAAAAGGCCATGTAAGGGGAGTACAGCTCAGGGATCGAATTTCTTCGGAGTTAGTTACATAGGGCGTGGGGCCTTGGGTGTAGGAGAGCTTTCGAAGCCTGAATGTGCCGAAGTCTCTGCAGGATCCGGAGGCAGCGGCCAGGCATCCCGGGAAAAGTACGTGCGTGATCATCACGGAGGCCTGCCGAGGTTCCAAATATCGCGGCCTGTGAAAGAATTAGTCGCGACTTAAATATAACAGTCTTTTTGTCAAAGAGTGGGATTGTCAGATATGGCTCTTCATGGTTAGACCGTTGGACCAGGGTTCGAGGGTTCTCTCTGGTCTGCGTAAGCATAAAGAGACGACAGTATGATATTCTGAGTTACTTTCCCAGGCCTCAATGTTGGCTCCTCCGGGATGGACTTTGCGTTTAGGTATCCCCGGTTACCCTACACCTTGCCCTTAGCCTTATGACCTAAACCCTAAGCCCTATGCCCGGCATGCTGCAAGCCTTTCCGGGGCACTCAACCCGAAACCACAGGACCCAAGCCAAACTACCCTACTAACCCCCTGAACGCTTCACAAAGCTCCAAAACCTCCTCTGTACAACCCCAACAGTCCGATTCATGTCCCCGGATCGCTGCACTGTAAGGTAGACCCCAGCCCCCTGATAGACCCCAGTCTTCCGACCCCAGGCCAAGGAGGAGTGGTTCAGCGCCTGGAGGGATGCCAAGCAGGGCAAGCGGGGTGCCGACTATGAGCAGCTGAAGAAGCGATTCGAGGACTCCGTAGGATCTTAGCATGTGATGGCAAGGGCAAACCCCAGATGCCGGTTATTTCATAATACTATAACACAATAATTAGAAGGTAATAAGTTCACATATGGTTCCTGTGTAGTTATGCTATAGCACCCCCCAATCCTGTTCTATCTATTGAGGTGCAGAGCGACGTCGGCAGCAGCGGCAACAGCGGCAGCAGCAATTGACATCGCACTTACGCCAGCAGAACCATGTGAATGTTGGCACCCGTTGTTTCCTGCTTAGGAGTCGCATCTCTTGGAAGCTCAGAAAATCTTAGTAAGTAGGTAATGAATAAGCATGAATGAGGACCCCCCTCAAGGGCGCAGCCCAATTCTCCTCTCAACTTCTTTCCCCACATCAAAACCTCTGAAAGCAACAGCAATAGGTTCTTCTTTTTCTCTTTGTCGCCACGACTCCACTACAGTTTTTCTGACGACCATCGCGACGAGGAGGGAATGGTTAAGGGCCTTCTGAAGCACTTCCCGCAGCTTGAGGGCAAGGCAAGTCAGCAGCCCCTAACACTCAAGCCCCTGGCCGAAACCCTTAAAGCTCTTAACTCTTAACCCCTAAACCCCTTAAAGCACAAAGCCATAAAGCCTTCAAGGCCCTAAGCCTTGTAAGACCCTAAACAGATCGAGTACGTGGAGATGGGGAGCCCTCTGTCGAACATGCACTACCTGAACCGCGCAGCCAGCTACGGGCTCCAGCACCCACCCAGCCGCTACACAGCGGCCCGGCGGAGTTTCGGGTTTACGGACTCAACGGTTTAGGCTTTAGGGTTTTAGGGTTTAAGGGTTTAGGGTTTAGGGTTTAGGGTTTAGGGAGGGTACTGGGATGTTGAGGAGGCCTGACAACCTAGAGGAGTACTAGGTAGAGTTAGGGGCTACTGGGTTGGATACCACCTTTGGACCGAACCCGCTTTAAGGATCCCATTACTATACCCCTTTGTTCCTGGAACCCTTGACCCTTGAACCCTAAAACCAAGGTAGGTATGCTCCAAGCAGTACTCATCAGATTCAACGCCCGGGGCTTGCTAGAGGTCCCACATCACGTCTTTGGCCTAAACCGACCAATCAGCTACCTTGGACCCCTTTGCTCCTAAATCCTAAATGCCGACTCCTGCATGCCTGGCCGTTGGCGGTGGAGGAGCCGGCAAGCCATGTGCGGATCTGATGGCGGCCTGAACAGAAAGCCCAATCCTGTAAACACTCCCTTGTTGCGCAACAGAGGCATGCGCAGCCGAATGAATTCCCTTAGCGTGTAGAGCCATCCGCGGAACACAAGAAGCAATACATGAGCTTCATACTCTTGCTTTTACAGTGTGTGCTTTATTGTGCTGTGCTGAATTTCAAGACCTCGCTTGTAGTCGCCCACACCTGCGCCTTGCTGCCGCTGTCGGAGGCTTCAGAAGGACTGCGTCCTGGACGTCTAGCTGGTGTGGAGGGTATGTGGATGACTGGCCAGGACGATTTCAGGGTGAGGTTCGCAGTTCCGGGCGTGGGGCTTGTTGGGACTGCAGGTGTGTAGCGATGTTTAGGGTTTGCTGGGCGAGGGGTATCTACAATCACTGGAATGCACTCATTGCTCCTGCAAGGATGTGACGACCAACGGTTTCGCCGGGGCGTTGATGGGAGGCTGGGGCGTACATTCTCGCATCCCCAGCCCGTGGTAAATCCACCCTGAACACAAGCTCAGCCGAGGCATTTTTTGCAATCTTTTCTGTGTAGGCACTGTGGGTGGGGAGTTTAGAAAGGATCAATCGTCTAGGACAGCATGAGCAGTTCTGTGTGTTGTTGCTCGAGCCGCAGAGCACAGCAGCATCTGCGGCCGCCTCTCCCTGTGGAGCCGATGTCCATGGAGAGATTCGTCCACCGTGGCAAGGATGGGCGGATCCTCGACGTGGACGAGTTCCAGGTGGCCAAGGCCCTCCTGGCCGGAGAGCTCGAGCTCTTGAGCCAAGAAGTCGATTCCAAGCACCTCTTCGATTTGTGCCTCCAGTTCCGCCACCAGAGCACCGCCGTGGCGATGATTTCGTACGGAGTACCAGGGTGCGTTTTCAAGGGTCCCCGCAGCTTGCCGCCTCATTCTTCTGCACCTGCTGGGCAAGCAGAAGACCCCATTTTTCTCGGAGGTCCCTGTGACTGCCGGCACTGGCGTACTTGCAGAGCGTGCAGTTGGGGGTTTCCGGAGGATCAGGGTGTGTGGATGGAGGATTGGGATGCAAGCCTCCTGGATGCCAGGAATGCGGCGAAAGCGCAGCTGCGATGCCATTGTTTCGCACTTTGATTGAGGCCTGCCGCTCCGAGGCAAGTTGTCCAACACTCCTCACGGAGGAGGCGATGGCCTACCTCCTGGACGTTGCCATCCTTGTTGGGGACACCGAGCTCGCCAGATCCTGTGCCCGCCACTGCAATTGCTTCCCGCTGAGGCGCTGGAGATTCCAGGATTTTGCTAGGATCACCGTAGAGGAACAGTGTTTTCGAACAGAGATCCGAGAGAAAGACGTCCTGATTGCAGCTCTGGCCGCCGGGCTCGCACTCCAGACTTTGGCTTTCTGTTATTCTAGGGACTGGTCCAGTTTCTTGAGTCGCGTTTCGCTGGCGGAAGCCATCGTACTTTCTGGCGATGCAGAGCTGTGGCGCCGAGTCGAAAGCCTTCAACTGCAGCTCGGGCCCTGGCCAACGCATGGAGCCCGAAATGACATGGCCCTCTTTCTCCGGGAGCGGGCTGGCAGCCAACACCGGCTGAGCCCGGAGCTCCTGCATCGGGCCAAGAGGGCCGGTCTCCCACTGGCCACGTTTCAGTGTCAGCTTGGCTTCGGCTGCCAGGCATGTGGACAACCCTTGGAACGTTGCGCGGCCTCTGTGCTAGACTTGGCGATCCTCTTTGGGCAAAGCGACTGTGCCCGACTCTGTGGGACGATGGACATCAAGGCGACAGAGCTTACGCTTCCAGCGAGCCTTGCGGCGATGCCTCTGAAGTGGGAGGAGAACTGGTCTCAGTCTCCTTATCTTCCTGAAATCGACTGCTGGTGCGGCGTCAGCCCTGTCATATTGAGACTTGTAGATGCCTGGAACGATAGCTGTGCATCTCTCCCGGAGCGCCAGGCTGCAGCAGCCGAGGCGCTTCGTGCGGCGCTGCAGATGTCCTTCCGACGCGTCGCATGCTCTGCAGGCTTCGGGCTCTTTCAGGCCCTGTGCCACTGGGCTCGCGGGAAGCAGGTGCCGAAGAATTTGGTGAAGCTGGTGTTGGCTTTCGCAGCGGAACGGTCGTTGCTGGTGCTCGCCTTCGCGGGGCGCGAGGGGGAGCTTTTGACTGGGGGCCATTGGTGGGAGGAGTCGTCAGATCAAGATCCTCAGAGTCCACAGCCAGTGGTGAAGGGTGCCGCGTCACATGTACAAGTGGAGAGTGTGGGTGTCTCGGACATGCACTCTGCTGGTGCCGCCGCCGCTTCCAGCAACGAAGCACGCACAACACCAGATAGCACAACAGAGAAGGAAAGTGGTCCCGACGAGAACTCCACAAACGATCTCCTCGCGGCCATCCGAAACAGCAAGAATGACAATCCCCCCTTGAGTGGCGATGGAGTCGTGATCTTCCGGCTCGGGCGATGGGCCACGTCCAATCTGGAAAAGATCAATGCCGTCCTCTTCGATGCGACTGGGCCATTGGGGCCTTTGCACCATCGTGTGCTGGAGGCCGGATGTGAGGTGGCACCTGAATGGTCTCCGGCCAAAGCCCTCTTCGTACCCTTGACCCAGCCACAGTTGCAGGAGCTCGTGCATAGCCACTCGGGCCCAAAGTCATAGAATCTTCTAAGAGTCACGATGGTAATGGTTCGGGATCTGAGGCCTCTTCAACTCATCCGATGTCTTAATACTGTTTGCTTATGCGCGCAAGAGTGCTGTTCCTTTGCGAGCGCTTGCAGCAACACCCGAACTCGAGGCAACATGTACGAGATGGGGAAGTTGCACGTGTTGGCCCTCGAGTCGGACAGCCAGCTGATCAAAGATGCCTTTAACCTCGCGATCCCGCGCAAGATTCGTCCCAAGCTCCGCCGTGAGACTCTGCGCATCGATGAGGAGGAAGAACATGGGACTCCAGACGACGAGCCGTTGCTCGTGTTGGAGGGCGGCGTCCAGACAGACTCAAGCGTGGGCTATCCCGTCTACACGGGGGTTCCTTGATCGACGAGATCTTGCCACCTTTTGTGGCGAGATCGAGGAGGTGACATCCCTGTGACAGAGGCAGGAGCTAAGCTTTGCCAGATCTTGTTGCACAAGCATATGATAATGATAATATGCACATGGCGAAACGGCGATGTAAAGCGGTATCATGTAATACATTCATGGATCATAAGAGAATGCTTCACATCGAATAATGAGTTCAGAAGCACAGGCAATGCTTCTGTTTCATTTGCTGTTCATGATGGGCGCTCTACTTCTAGCTTTGCTTACATACCCCTCTGGCTCCAATAACTATTATGAACCCCAAGCCGGGCTTAGTGTCTGTGGTAGTGGAAGCAGTGCAACCGGAATTCGCACCGAGCAGGGGGTATACCTCGCAGTCCGGAAGCCACGGGTCGTGTTGCCCTGGTGCAGGGGCCGCGAGGTAGAGCTCCGTCATAAGGTGTTTTGTCCCATTCATGTACAGTGCAGGGAGGCCGAGGGAGGATCCAGCAGTCTTTTTCTAGTTGTCAAGAGCAGCACAGACTGCAGGTGAATGATGACATCGGTATCTCTTGCCCATGGCCCGTGTCTTCCTGCTTAGACATTTAACGTGCGCAATTTTGCAATGGGGTGTGTTGCCATCGGTGCAAGCTGTAGTCTATCACGGTTTTTATTTGTAGCTGCAGAAAGGTGTTCATGCTAGTGCATGGATGGCTCGTTTGACAACCCCACAGTCGTCGCTGGTCGTTGTCTGCGCTTGGGCCCTGAAGCCACGAGTCGTGCTGCTCTGGCAGACGGGTGCAAGGCCTGCAGATAGAATGCTTGCAAGGCGGCAGAAAGGGTATGAAGCCTGGCACTATTTGTCCTGCGTGCCGTGTTTCTTGCGCATGAAGCCTTTGCTTGCTTGCGCGAATGGAGACACCCACTGGCCCATAGGCTTTCGGTGGCGCCTGTCCACACGATTGCTGAATTTGAGTCTGAACAGTCATACAGTCATACAGCATGCAGTCTGAGTCATTTGATGCGCTCGGCATGCGCAAGCTGTTATCGTTCTTTGGGGTTTCCTGGTTCAGGCGCAAGTTCCGAGCTCTAAAATCCCGAACCTTGCATCCCGAGACCCAAAAGCCTGAAATCGACGCACAAATTACAACCCTAGACTGACCCGGAACCCCTAAACTCATGATCGAGGCGTGCTGACGGCCCATGGAATTCTGGGCTACGGCTTCTGGGATCTGGTGGTGTGCGGAAGAGATCTTGGTCTGCACCTGAATTCTGTTTATCATTGGGGGTCCCGAATCCGGGAGTCCCTGTTACGTTAGGAGTCTACTACCTCGGGTTCGGGTTTGGGTCTCTGGATGAACTCGCAGAACCTCGTATGACGGTCGAGAGCTTCTCTAGTGGTTCAGGTGCTTGCGGTTTCTGGCAGTGTGTTTGCGGTAGAGGGGCACTGAAGCCTTGATTTACGTCTTCTACATCCTCCAACCTGGACACCACAGCCCAGAATGTGTGCTTGGTGAGGATCTGATCACGGACATGATGCGCGCGCAGAAATGAGACGTCGTTTCTCGCGGCTGCGTAGCGGTTGGCTGCGTAAGGACATTCATCCCAAGCTGGTGGGGTTAGAGAGAGGGCCACTAGGTCACTAGTCACTAGTCACTAGGTCCGGGCCAGGACATGTTTTTGCTTTAGGCCTGATGTTTTGTTGGGTATAGGGGGTTTGCTGGTCTAGGGTCTCGGGTTCAGGGTGTAGGGTTTGGGTTAGGGTATAGGGTGTAGGGATTGGGGAGTTTATGGTCTACAATGCTCTGGCCTTGATTGAATGTCCTTTCCGAATTGCCAGGCCTCTCATTTCAGTCTTGTCTCAGTCCTTGCTGAGTCTGCTTCCTTGGCATTGTCGCCAGTTGGGCGGCAAGAGCCATGTTAAGAACCGTCTGGGCGATGCAGGAAGGGAGTCCAGAGTGGGCCTCTCATGTTATTGGATTGTTCATGTCCAGTTACTTCCTGAAGCTTATGACTCTCATTATCACTGTCACGAATCACTGCCCCTTGCCATTATCAGTAGAGTAGAGCAGGCAAAATGAACTTTGAACCACAGGGCGCTGGAATGCCGCAGCGTGTTTTTGCTGCAATTATTTCCTGTCACTGTAGTTACTACTATTATGTTACGACCACTATGACGAAGTTTCTGCTGACGACGATGATGACGGATGGTTAGGTTGCTTTTGCTGCCATCGTCGGCTGTCGTTATGCTTCTAAGCATGTCTCCTAGCATTGTCACTGTTGGTTTCTACCATCATGATCTGCAGAATACTGTCTTTATTGCCGTGAGCTCTTTGAGCTCTTACTACGGCTGCTATCATCATCAACTTAAACCTGAACCCTAAACCCCCCTACACCTTAAATCCCAACGGAGCTTTCAAGAAAAAGATCCGAACCTTCGTGCAACATATCTCCGAAGCGCCAGAGTTTTCTGAGAATGAATTCCCGGCTCCGGTGCTGATTGGAAGATGCCTCAGGCGCCACGGAACTCTCGTCCCGCTGCTCCATTATTTGCTAGGGCATTTATGGGGGGTGTTTACCGTTTAGGGCTTCCGGAGTTTTGGGGGCAATGGGAGCTCCGAAAAAATTTCGAGATTCAGTGTTTTGTCGTTTCGGGGTTTCGGGTCAGGTAGGGTTCGTCCAGGAGCTTTGACGAACCCGGGGATTAGGAGTTATGAGGATTGTTGGGATGTGCTGCTTAGCGGTTGGCTTCTAGAGATCGGCTAGTTGACCGGTTGTAGTTTCTTAGGCCCTAAACCGGAATCGCCAAGCCTTTGTGGGCGTCCGACGTTTCAGGGAGTGTGGTTGACCACTGAGAGCTCAGAGTTTCATCTACCCCAAAACTCGGAATCCGTCGACGTACAGGTGCTGAAGGCACGTAAGTGCACGGTCAAGAACAGCTGCCCGAGGTCGTGAAAAGCCGCAGGGCTGCTCCTGCTGTTGCTCTGTGTGCCGCTTTCCTGCTGTGTTTCCCTCCGAGTGTCACGACGACACCTGCTGCCACCGGCTCCGCCACCCCTGCTGCCACCCCCGCTGCTACCGCAGCAGCACCAGCATCAGCAGCACCATCAACAACTGCACCCCCCCTACCGCTTTGAATCACTTCGAGATCGTGCTTGGAGCGTTTGGGTTCTCGGGAGCAGCAAAGATTAGAGATTAGGTTCGAGATGGCAAGCGATCAGTCCAGAAGCCTAAAGCCTAAGGCCCTAAGACCATGAAGCCGTAAAGCCAACAAAAAAGCCAACCCTTACCAGCTGTGGTCCTTGCGTGCTGTGGGGGAGTTCGGAGAAGAATTTGCCTCCCGATCGACAACGAATAGAGGGCTTTGAACGAGTAGTTCGAAGGGGCCCGCGCAGGTCTTATCGGATATTCATAAGGCTCTTAACACGGGTTCTCCCACAAGCTGGAAGTTTTACGTTGTACGTTTCGGGTGGGGCGGAGCTGCAAAGTGTTGGGGCTGGTATTGCTTTTAAGGTTTAGGTTCAGGGTTTGGGGTTTAGGGTTTCGGGTTCAGGGTTTAGGGCCTAGCGTGTGGGGTTTACCTGCAAACCCAGTTCGCACTAGTTAATAATAGCTGTCGCAAGACTTGTAGAATCGAGCCGCAAGGAAGAGGTGCTGGGATCTGCAGGCAGGTCTATGTTATCAATACCCTGTCCTTACTATGATAGCTTGAACCTAGACCCTAAACCCTAAACGTAAACCCTAAGAGCCTTAACATGTGCCCTTTTGGGGGTTTAGGTTCTCGAAGCCTCGCGACGTTGGGTCGACACGGTTCAATTCACTGCTTTTCTTCCGGTTGGGGCCCTGTCTATTGGGAGGCTTTAGAGTTTGAGTTTTAGAGTTTGGGCGTCGTGGTCAGGGCATTTGGGGTTTCGGTTTTCAGGATCTAGAGCTTAAGCCCTAAACCCTAAACCCTAAACCAAGCTCCAGGGGATTTGAGGGCTTCGGCGTTCTGGCATGGCATGGAGATGCCCTCGCTGTGTTCGTCTTCGAGAACCCAGCAGCACCTCCCAGTCCCAATAGGGTTTAGGGTTTTAGGGTTTAGGGTTTTGGGGTTTAGGGTTTAGGATTTACGGTTTTAGGGTTTTAGGCTTTAGGGTTTAGGGTTTAAACTCGAAGCACCACCAACGACACTGGCATGACTGCTGCCCGTAGGGTTCAAAGGTCAACCATGGATGCCCAACCATTGCAAGGCCCGGTTGGAGCAGAAACGCCTAAACCTAAGACCCTAAACCCTAAACCCGAAGCCCAAAACCCAAAGCCCAAAATAAACCCCCGAACTTCTGAAGCCCCTTAGCCTAAACCCCGAAACCCACCAGCCTTGAACCCTCAACTCAAAACGATGGAAACCCTACACCCCTGAACCCCTGAACCTTAAACCCCTAAGTTTCTGAAACCCCGGAGCCCTAAAGCCCTAAACCCTAAACCCTAAATCCCTAAAACCCTAAAGCCCTAAAGCCCGAAATCCCTAAAGCCCTAGAGCCTTTTCGGGCGTAGGGTTTGCTCCGGACGATGGCCCCTGCTCCGCGGGCTGCGCCGGGCGCAGCTTCGCTGAGACCGCAGGGTTTAGGGTTTAGGGTTTAGGCTTAGGGGTTTAGGGGTTTAGGGTTTAGGGTTCAGGGTTTTTTTGGGTCCATGGCTTTTGGAGTTTGCGCTTTTGGAGGGCTCGGGGTTTGGGGTTTCGGGCCCATTCAGGTGCAAGCTGTTTTTTGTTTCACCGCTTTGGAGGCCTGGTGGTTTTAGGGCACTGAGGGAATCTGATCCAATCGAGTTGGGATTGGGGCTCAAGGTTTCTAGGGGGCTTCTCAGCATTTTCGGGGTTCGGAATCATCAGGGTGTCCAGGATGCCGAATTCAGGGTTGCGGTCCGTGTTGCTTTTTAAATGGTTTGGGGTGCATTGCTAAAGGGATCATGGTTCTGATGTTGCTTTCCTTCCCAACAGGTGCTGAACCACCCTAAACCCTAAACCCTAAACCTAC